AATTATTTTGAGTCCTGGGATTTTTGTTTCTTAAGATTTGTTATTTCGGCAATCTGATAATTTATTTATTTTATTTCTCAAAATGGCAAGGCTTTATGATATTTATCATTAGCCCTTAATCTTTGACTTCCCTTTATGGTATTTATCATTAGCCCTTAAACTTTGATTTCAGCTTCCCCCAGGGGTCTGCCTCATCATTTATTTCAAATGGCAGGCTTTATGATATCTATCATATTAGCCCTTAATAGCTTTGACTTCAGCTTCCCCCAAGGGTGGGGGGTACATATGTTGACTTCAGCTTCCCCCAAGAGGGGGGGGGTACATTTAAAGCAGTTAATTAATAGCAGTTCATTAGCAGTCTTCTTGCTTAAATTTTGACTTCAGCTTCCCCCAAGGGTGGGTACATTTATAGACTTAATCTTTGACTTCAGCTTCCCCAAGAGGGGGGGGGGGTACATTTATAGCGGTTAAAATAGCGGAAAAACTTTGACTTCATCTTCCCCCAAGGGTGGGGGGGGGGGTACATTTATAGCCTTAATCTTTGACTTCAGCTTCCCCAAGAGGGGGGGGGGGTACATTTATAGCGGTTATTAACAGCAATTCATTAGCTGTCTTCTTGCTTCCCAGTATCTCTGGTTTTCCGAATTTTGACTTCAGCTTCCCCCAAGGGTGGGTACATTTATAGACTTAATCTTTGACTTCAGCTTCCCCAAGAGGGGGGGGGGGTACATTTATAGCGGTTATTAACACAGCCCATGGGTGGGGGGTACATATATAGCAGTTAATTAATAGCAGACATTAGCAGTCTTCTTGCTTCCCAGTATCTTTGGCTTTCCTGTAGCTGTCTTCTTGCTTCCCAGTATCTCTGGCTTTCCGGAGTAGCTGTCTTCTTGCTTCCCAGTATCTCTGGCTTTCCGTAGCTGTCTTCTTGCTTCCCAGTATCTTTGGCTTTCCGTAAGCTGTCTTCTTGCTTCCCAGTATCTCTGGCTTTCCGTCGTTAGGGCTGGACATCGAATCAGGTGGGTCTTCTCCATTTCAGCTGGATCCCAGTATCTCTGTCTTTCCGTCGTTGTCTTTAGGGCCTTCCCAGTATCTCTGGCTTTCCGTCCTTGTCTTTAGAGTGGGACACCGAATCAGGTGGGTCTTCTCCATTTCCTCTTGATGAACACCGAATCAGGTGGGTCTTCTCCATTTCCTCCTGTATAGGATCTCTGGCTTTCCGTCGTTGTCTTTAGGACTGGACACCGAATCAGGTGTCTGTCCTTGTCTTTAGAGCTGGACACCGAATCAGGTGGGTCTGCGTTGTCTTTAGAGCTGGACACCGAATCAGGTGGGTCATCACCATTTCCTCCGCTAGACACCGAATCAGGTGGGTCTTCTCCATTTCCTCCTTTGAACACCGAATCAGGTGGGTCTTCTCCATTTCCTCCTGTATACCAGTATCTTTGGCTTTCCGTACTTGTCTTTAGGGCTGGACATCGAATCAGGTGGGTCTTCTCCATTTCCTCCTCCTTCCCAGTATCTCTGGCTTTCCGTCCTTGTCTTTAGAGTGGGACACCGAATCAGGTGGGTCTTCTCCATTTCCTCTTGATGAACACCGAATCAGGTGGGTCTTCTCCATTTCCTCCTGTATATATCTTTGGCTTTCCGTCCTTGTCTTTAGAGCTGGACACCAAATCAGGTGGGTCTTCTCCATTTCCTCCTGTAGGTTACATTAATCAGATCTTCTCCATTTCCTCATGTAGGTTACATAGGGGGCATGTTGGTTGAGTGTATACCCTTGGCTTTCCGTCCTTGTCTTTAGAGCTGGACACCGAATCAGGTGCCCTATCGTTGTCTTTAGGGCTGGACACCGAATCAGGGGGGGCCATTTCCTCCTGTAGGTTACATAGGGGGCATGTGGGTTTCATTTCCTCCTGTAGGTTACATAGAGGGCATGTGGGTTGATCGCTAGACACCGAATCAGGTGGGTCTTCTCCATTTCCTCCTTTGAACACCGAATCAGGTGGGTCTTCTCCATTTTCTCCTGTAGAGAATCAGATGGGTCTTCTCCATTTCCTCCTGTAGGTTTCACATCAGGTGGGTCTTCTCCATTTCCTCCTGTAGGTTACAGATCAGATGGGTCTTCTCCATTTCCTCATGTAGGTTACATATGGTGGGTCTTCTCCGTTTCCTCCTGTAGGTCACATAGACAGGTGGGACTTCTCCATTTCCTCCTGTAGGTTACATAGAGTATGTGGGTTGAGTGTATACTCTCAATCTGTGAAGGTGTTTTGATAATCTGTGAAGGTGTTTTGTCAGTCGTGTCCGGTACAAGTCTAAACTCAGCAACGGCTTCGATTCTTGGCCATTCGGCTATGTGGTAGAGTGCCACTCTAAACTCAGCAACGGCTTCGATTCTTGGCCAGTCGGCAACGGCTTCGATTCCTGGCCAGTCGGTTATATCGGAGAGTGCCAACTGTATTCTCCTTTGTTCGAGCTTTAAGTTCGTTGCACCTTGACTCTCCTTTGTTCGAGCTTTAAGTTCGTTGCACCATGAGGTATGGAATTCTCATCTGATTAAGGCCTTCATTGCGTGGAAAGACATCGACCGGT